AACTTTGCTCTCCGACGTTTCCATGAAGGGAGGGGGAAAGCCCTCTCTGAAAACAATGGAAGGTCTCCACCACATCCACCAGAGTAGACCTTAGGTTGGAAACAGTGCCCATGGGCACCCTCGCTCCATCAAGACTTCTAAAGGATGCCTAAACCCTAAAAAAACATTAAAAATATAAAAATAGGCAAAGCTTTGAAAGTTAGCCAATTTTCCTAAGTGTTGTATTGTCACAAGAAATCTCATGACATGTTAGCCACTTCTGATTCAAAAAAAAGCTACCTACCTGTCGTTCATTCATTCATTCATTCATTCGAGTCTGATGCATCACGAAAGTCTCAGCAGAAGGCCGGGATAGTGTAATAGCGAAGGTGCTGGACTAAGAAGACTGAGGTTCAAGTCCACCCTCAGCCTTCTCAGGCTGGCTTTGAGCCAATCACTCTCTTGCAGCCCAACCTATCTTACAAGGTTGTTGTGGGGGGGAGATGGAAGGAAGGAATGCTGCGTACGTTGCCTTGAGCTCCTGAATGAAAGGCAGGATATAAATCTAACACATACATACATCAGGTGGGAACCCTTCCCAAGTTTTACTCTTTTTTCGGATTGGGAAACGAGGGCAGCCAGGGAAGTTTCAGAGTGATGGAAAGAAATATGACATAAAACTCAGTTTTGTTCCACAAACCGTGGTTTTATGGCAGCGTCATGTGTGAACCCAGTTTGTGGGGGAGGGAGTGCCACATTTCACATGGAATTACAATATGTCATGACTTTCTTTGAAGCATCCATTGCCATCCTAAAGAGCCATGCCATAAAATGCAATAAATCAAGAAATAGTTGATATAAGAGGAGGCAGAGTTGACACATTAATGAATTTATGTGCTGAGAGATTGAAATCAAGGAGTTCAACAGGTCAAACGCTTGCTAAAAAAAAACAAAACAGGAACTTTGAAACTTGAAGAACAAGCAAAGTAAAGAAGCTGCAAGTCTAGGTGTGACAGCAAGGAAGATGATCTCCTGTAGAGAAGGCGCTCTGCAGAAGATTATAAAGCATTCCATAATCCAGGAGAAGACCATCCTTCCGGTCTTCCCGTGGATTCATTTTACATTGGCTTTCATGTAGCAACACACTTCATTATATGAGAGTTGAAGCTTCAGTGCTGTTGGGCGTGTTACCGCACACACCCAGAACTAATGATGCTGCAGAAGATTGCATTTTGCACTTGGAGGTTATAAAGTTCTGGAATGCAAATATCTGGAGGATATTTAGTTCAGATACTGAGTTAAAAGAAAAGCCCACTGTAACTTTGGCCACGTGATTGAACAAGATGCTAAGGCTTGTGAATCCTCTCTGCTGGCACGCTCACCAAAATACAAAAGATCCATACTGGAGGGATGGTAAGATTATGTATACAGAATAAAGAATTAGAGGTTCCTATATTGTCTAGACAATGGGAAAGTGTTTTAATTTCTGTAGGACGAGTGTCAATGGAACTCAAATTACGACTTGTACAACAAAAAAATAATATTTAGAATTTAGTGGACTCCGTTACGTTTGTGTAGAAAAGGATTGTCAAAAACAGCATTTTGTTGGAGAAGTAATAAGGATAATGCTTCTTTTAAAACGCATGTTTCTACAATGTCCTAAACTTACCAAGTTTTGGGAGAAAGTAGTGGACTATATGAATATGAACAAAAGCTAAAATTTTCAGAGGATAATATTCTTTTGAACTATATGCCTAGTACATGGGACTTGACAACTGGACAACATAAATGGATTCTCCATGACCTTACTATGGCCAAAAGACTGATATTACAGCATTGGAAAGATAAATGTATGGCCCCATTTATTCAATA